GAATGAATTTAACTCGGCGAATCCGGTTCTTGACATCTAATTCTTGTGTGTTATATTTTTAATTAAAACTGTTGTTTTAATTTTTTGATAAAAAATTGGGGGGAAATAACGGAACAATTTTGAAGGGAATTCAAGATGATTAATTTTCTTCATCCGGAAAATTCATGTAATACTGATCAATGTACTATGTAAAATGTACAATGTAGGTACAGCGCAATGGATCAATGGTTGTAGCTAAGATGACCATATTTTGAAATCAAAAAAAGGACATTTTTAGTTTTTGTCATAAAGATAAAGGGAACAAAATAGGACTTCAAACACCATTTTGTCACAAATATTTAGGTTTGGAAATTCAGATTAGCGTTTAATTCTCGCCATCCAAAGAATACCTTAGAAAGGAACATTGTTGATTAAACCCGAGAATCTCTGGATGGGCTCTCCTTATCGAGGTTTTTCCCACAACTGAGCAATGTTTGAAAGGAATATTAGATTGTTTTTAAAAAAAACGCATTTTGTAAATTTGCACTTTCATTCATTGCGAAGGTGAGTATTTCTCAATGCACATTGTGGCACAGAAAGTCTCAGAAGCGGAAGTATCGCATTATTAAATTTCTTCATAATATCGTTAGCGATAAAGGATACAAAAGTTGAAAAGGCGCCAAAGCTGTATTTTCTTTTCCTAGAAACCACAACACATTTAAAACACCCTCATTACGTTCCCCAATATCTTGTTATACATATTTGTATAAACAAATGCGAATCAAATGGAATATATCATGATAAATTTAATATTGTTGACGTCATTTGTCATTGTCACAACAAAGGGACAATTTATCGTCCCGTTAAAAAATATAGGACAGGGACTCCAATTAACGGATAGTACCGACATACTTTCTCGTGTTACTGGAAACAGCTATGTAATTTGAAATATTGCATTTTCTGCGCTACTAACACCTCAGATATTATTTCAAAACGTCCAATTCAAGTAAAAAGTGAGCAAACGCACTGTTGACAGCGCAGCGTTATCAAAACTCGCTTGGCTAATAATATCAATACAGTAATTAGAATACATGCAATTGACTTCAAAATAATTACGAACATTCGTGAGATGCCTTTCGTCGTATGATAGCAGTTCAGACAGCGTTTCATTTCATCACCGACTTCTAACAGCCACACTTCAGCTACGATAAACATTATTACTTTTCAATAAAGAGAGCGTCCGTGGTTTCTCGGAAGAGAGAATATGATCTAAACAAGGCAAGAACTACTCAAGTGCTTCTCAATAGATGCGATATTGTTGGGAATTTCTATTAAGCTTTGCAGATTGCTTAAAAATAAATACATCAATACATTGAGTAAAATGTAAAAAAGTGAAAAGGGAAAATTTAAATAATTTTGGCATTTTCAATAATGAATTATAATTAAAATTAAATTAATTTTTTTTCATATCATTCATTCAATTTTTCTCGTGGCCCGTATTTGGTGTGAAACCAGTAGGAATTACGTGAAAACTATTAGCTTTACTTAAAAATAGTACAAGACCTTTTTTCAATAGCTTATTTTCTACAACAGCCTTTGTCTCGGGCAAAAATCTCTTATCTTCAATTTTGTAGTTTCGAAATATTTTTGACAATTTTCTAAAAAAAAAGAATATCTGAAAGTGAGACTAGGGCCGTATATATCTTACCTCTCTTTATTACAAATTGCACCTCCAATAGAAAAGTGACACAAGTGCGAAATCGTCATTTTTCAGTTAAAAGCTGATAAGAGGTTATCAAGAGGTACTGCTAGTTCTGAAGTTGATTTTGAATTAGTTCAATTACTGTCCGCTAGAAGGTGAATATTTGGTACAATCTATAACGAGTGTTACAGAACTACGAAGCTTAAAAATTGCAATTTCTTAGAAATCAAAAATTCGCACTTGTGTCACTTTCCTAAAGGAGTTGCGATATGTGACGAAAACTTAAAGAAAACCTTGGCAAAGAAAGAAAAGAGGGCAAATTTTATACAATTATTTTATCAAAAACGACTCCAAATGTTTTCCACAGATTAATGGGAAACAATTGGTTACATTTTCGTCGCATTTTTAAAAATAAAATAAGAATTTTCAAATTCAAATGCCCGGTGCTTTGTTTGGGGCGCTGGCTGCAAAGCAATATTTTGATTTAAAATTCTGAAAATGTACTTAGTGTTCGCTGTCGTGATCATACGATGTAGATATTCTTATGAAAGGAAATAGTTTTAAGGAAGGTAATAGATTTAACTTAGAACAAACCAATATACATCTAATTTTAAAAGATTTGATCGCTGATTACGAATTTCAAAAATTCAAGTTAGACATTAGTAGTTTGCTTCGAAGTAATCAAGGCGCGCTATTGAGAAATTTTGCTTGCTTTTCTGGGTAATGTTCTGCAAATACTGCGACAGATAAATTTATTAATGTTTGTTTCATTGTAGAATTAAGTTCTTGACTCGAAATAAATGCAGATATTCTCCACAGGCGTTTCGTCTGAATTGGTTGAATTGTTCTTTTCCAAAAAATAAAGCTGTAACGTTAGTAGGACAAAATTGCATTATTGCAATATTATTGCTCTTCCTAATAATGCGAGAAAATATGTGCTGTCGTAGCAACTATAGTTAATTATTCGTAACATTTTTGCAGGATATTTTTCCTGCTGCGTGTATAATGTACTTTCCTTCCCACTTGACTGTTACTTCAGATATCGTCTCGTTATCCGTTATCCATTCATTTTACAAGTTGTTTTATTATAAGTAACAACACTTTGATAAAAATAATACGAATAGGATTTGTGTTAGTGTTACACTGCATATCACTGTTTGTGTTGCGTCATGTGACATTGCATGTTCAATAATGTAGGCCAAGAAGCATAACTTTTATCAATAATACATACGGAATGATCTCAAGCATTGCAATAAAATTATATTTATCTCTTCTCTACCAAACAAATATTGTGCAACTTAAATTTTTGTGCTGTGTGTTCCCTGAAGAAGCGAGAACTAAACACGTTGACAACTAGGATCTGACACAGTTCACAAAGGAGGGCGTCAGGTAATTGAATGTTGATAATGATAGATTACAAATTACTTGAAGGTTACTTCTATCATACAAGACCCAAACAAAGCAGGTATATTTGTCATGTACGAGCCTCATATTATGGCTCTGCCCACGTGTATGAAGAATTGTATCGGTCGTATTTTCCAACGAAGTGTTACAAGATTACGGACTACTTTCTGGTATTGTTTGCAATGATTACTTAATTGTAATACTACGAGAACATTATTTGTGAATTTTTAGGAAAGTCAAAAGATAACTTCAAAATTTCATTAAAGGCTTGTTCATTGCATGTAACTCTATTCATTCAAAACGTTGAAAGAAAACATTTAGTGAAGTTTTTGAGAAATTCTTGTTTTTAAAATTGCCTTTTTTCACAAAAAAAAATCTTGAAAACTATTCAAATTCGGAAAAAATTGTACATAGCTTTATTTAAATATCAATGTTTGAGATACAGATGTCATTAATTAAATAAATATATCTATCTTTACTACCACAATCGAGTCTTGAGTCTCGGCTGACTTTCTGGTTTCATTTTTCTGCCGCATCCTCTTTGCACATGCCATCCATTGACATCTAAAAGATTCAGCAGGCAATGTTGCCAGGTTAGAGGTTTTCCCCCTAAATTTAGGTGTTTTGCTTTTGGTGTTTAGCGGATATTTTAGGGATGAAATTTATTTGGGAGGTTTTGTTGAGTTTTAATTAATTAAATGTCTAGTGTATGATAAAACACACTAATATTTCCTTATGATTATTGCAGGTATATTTATTCAAATATAACTAAGCGAAGTAAAAACATTTATAGGCATGTTTGCCATCTGTCCTCCCTTTGGAGGACTAGCCTTCCCTTTTTAACATTGTCCTTATTTAAATTTACATGAAATTACCTCTTGTACTACAAGGCATTGTTGTAAAGTGAAATGAAACTAGGGAAAGCTAAAACCACGTACTTCCTAAAATTACGCGAAAGGTACTCAAATACTCGAAATATTGTTCCTGGCCTTATTTCAAAATATATCTTTAAGGAGTAGATTTGATTAAGGAAAACTTTTTTATTTTCATAATTTTAGTTGTAGGAAGACGCCAAAACAATTTTGAATTTTTGCAATTTTCGAAAAAAATTGGGTTTTTAACGAACGTGAGAACTGCATTGTTCTCTCTATCCAACAACAAAATTTAATAAAAAACAATGGAGCCATTTACATGAAAATTTTGAAAATGTCACAGGGGCTTCATGTAAAGTACCCCCATCCCCCCAAAAAAAATAAACGATAAAAATTACGGAATTCAAATTCAAGATGCTGAGACATCGATCGGGGAATATCAATTTTGGAGAAAATCAGCTAATCGGTTTAGTCGCTAACGTTATCCGGACGGACACGTTTGGTTGTCCTTAGATTTTTCCGTATCACTGATTCACATTTTATGGATTCTGCCAACACCACATGTTAAAGAACTTTTCCCCTACATTTAGCAACTGGATTGCTGTACTTTTTAGTTACCTGACTCTGTAATACGAGTTTTTCTGCCCAAAAAAGTCACAGTTGTTTCGCGCAGTATTACAAATCTTTCTCTCTACTCCGTAGCGAGGAAGTTGAAATGATATTGCATTAAATCCAATCCGTAAGAACGATTTTTAAATTTCCACATTTCAACTGTATGCAAATCCTTGACGGAAGAGGACTGGAGTCTTTGCGTCAAGTATAGTGATAACTGAAATATAGAGGTATTTTGAACTGTCATTATTGAAGCAAGGGAGTTATTTGTATATTAACTAAAAAACAAACAAACAAACAAGCAGTAATGTAAAGCTTTGATTGGAAATATTCTTACGCAAATACTGGTTACTTTCCTGTCTCACTTACTTGGTTACGGTACATGAAAGAATTTCTAAATACACGTTACGTATTTTAATTATTGCAATTTTATGTTACAGCTGTCGGGACTAAGTCAGCTCATTACGTATTCCGTGCAAGCTGATAATGCAGAGAAAAATGGGAGACGGTAAAGCATGAGGTCGTGGAGAGTTCATCTACCACTCCTCGATGTCCCTATGCCTAGTTCTTTAGTAATCCTAAGTATTAATGTATTCCGTAATTATGCACAAGAAATATCTTGTGTTTTATTCTATCCTGTGGGTGATTCCCCAAGGACGTGAATTGGGTCCAGTGCTTAGTACACTTCCATACACTATTATACACATCTGACTTCTCTACAACCCAAGAAACAATAACATTTCATTTGCTGACAATACTCAGTTGTAGCTTCGGACAGTGCTCTCAGTAGAGGTTACTAAATTGCTTCAGGAAAATATCAACAAATTTCAAACATAACTAAATTAATTGGCGAATAAGTGCCAATGAAGATCATTTCCACCATGAGAAAATAATTTGCCGTACAAACTACATTTTTTGAAAACTTTATCAATTTTTCAGTTTCTTAATAGTAGAACCTAAATATTACTTCAGAAATATACAGAAGAGTAAAAAATCGTCATCTATGGAAATCTTCCTTGAAAAATTTGAGTCGGTTTTTAAGAAAACATCCTTTAAGCGAAACTGTAAATACGAGATTTGAAGTTCTTTGACCAAAAAACTTGAAGTTGCGGGCTTCCGTTTTTCTAAAGAAACTTTGTATTCGTATATTTGTAAGTTGAAATGTTTGGATGCCATCCTAAAATATTATACTAGAAATAATATTTATTTTGTGATGCTTATCTATTCTTCTATTTTTAGTTGGATCATTCAATCATTTTAATTTACATTTTTTGCTCCAAATAACAGAAAGATTTGGTCAATTTTAGTTAATATTATTTGAATTTTCTATTATTGGTGAACGTGTTAGTGCGGATGAAAGTGGACAAATTTACGTAAACCGATAATAGCGAAGAAGATGCAGTCATATTTGCACCCAAATGGAGCGCCCGAGGATGAATGAAGAAGCTACGGTCCGCTTATGGGACAGTGATGCCAAATGTTGACGCGTTTCTACTGTACTGTATGAATCGAAGAGATACGCGCTCGATGGTCACAACGAAATCGCAATTGGGCCAGAGAGCTAGTTTAGCACCTAAAATACACGCGCAAGTTTCGTGATATACGAGCTCCCTAGTTCTCCCCACATGAATCAGTACGGCCCGTTGAAATAGTTAGCTTCACTCGGAAACGGGCACCGTTGCTTGCAACAAACCACTCGTACCTTGAACACAATCGTATTTCTCGTGGCACGCTTTGGGGCGTTAAGTTCATGCCCACAGTTGGTACGCCCTTTTAAGCCGTGACGTAGCCAGAGCCATCCCCTCCCCCCCTCGGCGATATATCAAGAAAACGTGTGCGTGTGGTAGTCTCGAATCTTTTCAATTTTATGAAATCGTATTTACTTTCTTTTCCTCAAATCTAAAACTATTTCTACGAGACTCCGATACATGGCGGGTTCAAACCCGATCGAAGCCGTGGATTTTTAAGGGCGAAAAAATCCTTCGTACGCCTTCCTTCGGAGGGGAAGTAAAGCCGGCTGTCCCATGTTCGTAGATTTACTTGCATGTAAAAGATCCTCAAGCCTAAATGGCACCTCTGAGCTAAATTCAAATCGCTTGTTTCTCGCCCAAGAAATACCTCCTTTCTCTGCTAGCTGGTGAAAGGAGCGTAGCGAAATTTGCGTGGTCAGAAGGAAGAGCGGGCCTGATTTCCCGAGTCTCGCCACGTAAAATAAGGCAAATTCAATTCAATACATAGGACACATTTCTGTGAGGCTTCTCGCATCCTTTGTGCTTCGATGTGTAATAATAAATTAGGAAGAAATATTAAATTTAAAGTGCACCATTAATTCAATTCAATATCCAAAATTCAAGCCAACTATTTAATATCAACGCACGTTTGCTTCAGCCTTCGCTTCGCTAGATGCGAGAGCAGTGGGGGTGGGGTGGGGGAGCGTATTTTGACAAAAGGAATTTTACGTCGAATTTGTAGTTCATTTTTCCAAGCATTTTTTAATATACGTGATCGAACATTCCTCGTCACCAGATTTTGCCAACATTTATTCTTAATGCAACTAATGTTGGGAAACAAGTGGGGTTAGTATTCCGGGGCTCATAAAAACGTGCGGCTGTAATACATCCAGTTAAAAAAAGGCTAAGCCTCTCGTTTTCTTTTTAATAGGAAAATAATAAGTTTTGATTACTGAATAATATATTTGAGACAAAATAAGTCGGGCCCACGGGAACTTTTGATTTACGGGAAACCGTGCTGCCTCGCTCCAGGAGAGCAGTAGGCATAGAGGTGAATCCTGTTCGAAAATATAATTATAGTTGAACAGTTATAAACATTAATAACCATTTGTTTTTCACACTGTGGAGCACTTTACCACTCTTGCGCTTTACAGTTGGTAGGCCATATATTCTAAATTAAGTTTGGAAAGAAAAAAATATATAAATTTAAAAATAAGTAAATTAATAAATTTACCACAACTTAAAAACCGAAATGAAGAAAAGTAAAGGAAATTGCATTTAAATTTACACTACAAATCTCGTGAAATTGCGTTTAAAACAACGAATCTCGAAAACTAAAGAGATCTAAACACACTCAATCAAATACAGCCGGAACAATACAACCGGAAATTTCTGAGCTCAGTACGATATACGACAACCGAAGCACGTGGCACATCTGTGGCTGATCCAACAGCAAAACGTATCTCGTACTATAAAAATTGATAAATTCTAAGAGTGTTCACCATGATTTGTGGTAAATATATAATGTATTCAAGGTATTATTTTACAAATGTAATTGTTATAAAAAATTATATTAATGAGAATTTATAACGGTTTTGAGTCCTAAAAACGGGGGGATGTTTATTTACCGGAAACCCATATGGCTCTATACTAAACTTAACCTCGGACGCGCTATAGTTTGATTCAATTAAAGTGAACTATGTAGAGTGCTGCAAGATGTTCCATTCGCTCTTCCGCACTTTTTCGAGCATCCTGCGGCAGCTCGCGGTTCAAGGAAAATTTACGTCACCATTACTAATGATATCATAAAATATGTTTATTTGATCAATACAATGAACATTGAAGATGGGAGTGAAACTAACCGAAATCTCACGAACAAGAACTTTTTTTTTACATTTCGCTTAGAGATATATGTAATTATTAGAATTTTTACTTGTAAGCTTGACTATGCTAAAATGTTCTTTTTTGTTACTTACAGTAACTCCAAATACTTTTATAACAGTGCTTTTATAATATTATATTTTCCTTCTTTTCTTTCTAAAATCTTTTCTACTGCATAACTGTTCCTATACAATTAGAGTCTATACTACTTATCAAAAAGAAAATAATGTTTATTTTAACAAAACAGAGATATATAATGAATTAGTTTACATTTGTATTGTATATTTTTTTAAAAGATTTAATATGTTTGTAACAAATAATGTACTTCTGCTTCCGGGTCCATGACTCCCATCTCGATCAGATTTTTGTCCAGTTTCCTTGATCCATGGAGCAAATGCTGAGATGGCCCCTTGTTTTGCTCCTGGACGTAAATGTAGCTTCACTATGCGCACACTCCTTTTGCTTGTAATGGTAAGAGTAGAGATAAGGGCGAGTTGCTATTTTGTTAGCAATGCAGAAAAATCATACTTGCAATAAGTGTACCGATGCAGATAAGTTTTCTAAAACTCAGAAACGAAAATAACTAATTGTCAAATATTGCTGATCTTGCGATTTTTAAAATTTATTTATTTATGTTAAACTTTTACCCACCATTTAACTATTTATAGGTAAAATTACGGGAAGGTATTCTGGAACTCAAGAAAACGTGCTCAGATAATCTTTCCTCCCCTACGTCACATACAGTATTTTTTTACTGAATAAATCTAAATCTCATTAACTATATTCAGATCAGGTTAACTATATTCAGATTGCTGCGGATAGCAACAAGCGCTACTGATACGTTCTTTCTTCGTCACAAAATTAGATCAATCTTTTGCGTCATTTTCAGGAATGTTGAAAAAGATAAGGATTAATTTGAACAAACATTGTGACTCAATCAACAACCTGAGATAGGTCTCTGTGAGTTCCCTCGCCACTTTAGGTTTAGATTAAGTTTCTAACCTTAATTGTAAAGTTGACTTACATTGAACTTAGTAGCATATAAATCCGCAATTTAAAAAAAAAATTGAAAACCCCTGGTGACTAATGACGCGTGTCAACACATTGCAAATCTGTTGCATCAATATTATTGAAATATTTTTTTTTTTTAATAAAGGCTGTTTGCTTTTTAAATGCCAATGATCTCGCTTTCGTCCAAAATACCATACACCATTATTTACACCGAACGCTATTTTTAAATACACGTAGATGTTTCCTAGAATGGTCTTAATACTGGAAGGTATGATGGACTTAAAAGTAATTTTAACCAGGCGATTTTGCGAGCACCAGACGAAAATCATTAATCGACCGTACTAGAATACTCACTATCTGTATATCATTGTTCAAAATACACGAATGTACTGTACATAACAACTGTATTGTATTTTATCTAAAACTAAATTTCTGTTTATACTGCCTCAAATGATTATTGAATATAAATCATATTATGCGGCTGTAGAATGGCCAAGCTAGAATAAATAAGAAACAACTTTGATTGAAGATACTCGTCAGTATCTCGCCGTTAATGCAGTTGATACACGAAAGGAAATACTTAAAAATCTTTAAGGCAAATTCATAGACTTTAAATTTTTAAATTCTTTAGTTTTTTACGTTATCTAACAAATGTATCTCTAATGTATTGGTATGGTTTTCTAATTTTTTTAAAATTAAAACTATTAAAAATTTCTTCATTAACTGAATCTGTTTGTGTTTGGTTAGTTCGGTTCAAACTCACAGGGGGTCAAATCTCTCCCTTCATGATGAATTTAATTGCTTTCATTTGCTCTTATTTGCCAAGTATTCTGCCGTGTTTGTGGTTTGTTAAGATGCCCTGAATCAATATGGAATCCTCTCGCGGACTCTGAAGCTAGAACTCGTGTATTGTTAGTAAATGTAGTTATTACTGTTTCTTGGGTTGCAGATGAGTCAGAAATGTATAAAACACTAGAGCGTGTGCAGTTCCTTGGGGAATTTTACCGAATATACATGTATGGGGAAGAGGGGGGTCCGTTGGTCACAATACATAGAATTCTCCACGACGTGCTATTACATCCCCTCCTTCCGCTACTCTTTTTTTATTTATTTATTCTAGCTTGGCCATTGGCCCTCTGCAGCCAGATACAAAAAATACATTATTATGATTTATATACAGGAATCTTGAGACATTACAAAGATAAATCTAATGTTAGATATAATACAATAAAGTTGTTATATATAGTAGTTAATAATGAGAAAAGACTCATCGGTTTATGTCTATGGGGGGATCGAAAAACTCCCTCGGTAACTTTCTTTTTAATGTTTTGCGGTGAGGATTTTGCTAACCTATGTGAAAGTGAATAGCTGAAGGAATCTTTAATATTTTGGAAAAGAATTTTACGGATAAGAGGGAGAAAAAGACTGGGATTGGTGTAATGTCAAGTTCATTACGTAACTGCGCTTTCGGAATGTACGAGGGAGCTTTTGTGATGATGCATAGCAATCTAGTTGTTTCCGCTACTCTTGTGCGCGTTCCTTGGTCGAAAATATATTTTTTTGTCACATTTGATTTATTTAGTCAAGGAACAGTAAAAACGCTTACGTTTCGGTGACATTTATCTCTTCGCCCACGCGCGAATTTGAATGCAGACAGACTGGCGGTCACAATATCCGCGTATCTCGCCGTCTTTGCACCTCTAGGACACGAAAATATATTTTTTTTTTCACTTTTGATTTATTTAGTCAAGGAACAATAAAAACGCTTACCCCTTGGCGTTCGGTGACCTTTATCCCTTCGCTCGCGCGAATTTGAATGCAGACAGGCTGGCGGTCACAGTATGTACTACGTACTTCAATGTAAACAAACTACAGGTGGACATGAATACCTGACCGCCGCCTCGCGACCTTCGCATGTTGAGAATGATTCCACGTGTATATACGCGTTTATTTCCATGTATTCGTAGAAAAAACGAACATAAACAACTCGCGCGATAATGTATTTGGCGTGCTCTCTTCAAAACGCCCTGCTCGGGTTATACCTTTGTCTTGGCCATCAACAATTCATTCACACATTGGCTTTACTTTTTATACTATTTATGACGCAAATGCCTCGTATTGTTTCAGGGGACAACAAGGCCACCTATATAGTAAGCCCCCTTTTCACATCTAGGAGACGAAAATATATATTTTTGTCACCTTTGATTTATTTAGTCAAGGAACAGTAAAAACGCTTACGGTTCGGTGACATTTATCTTTTCGCTCACGCGCGAATTTAAATGCAGACAAGACTGGCGGTCACAATATAAACCAACCAAGTTCTTTAGTGTTAACAAACAGGCTGGACATGAATACCTGAAAGCCGCCTCGCATGTTGAGAATGATTCCAAGTATATATACGCGTTTATTTCCATGTATTCGTAGAAAAAACAAACATAAACAACTCGCACGATAATGTTTTTGGCGTGGTCTCGTCAAAACGCCTTGTTCGGATTATACCTTTGTCTCGGGCCATCAGCAATCCATTCACACCCTATTTTACTTTTTAAACTATTTATGACTTTATCGTATCGTTTCAGGGGACAACAAGGCCACCTATATAGTAAGCGCCGTGTTGGCTGCAGTAATGATGCTAAGCACAGGACTACTCCTGCTTGGGGTGCACAAGGTGAGTGGGACTTTTATCTTTTTAATTCAAAGTGTTTCCTGTGCACAAGACAGATGATGCATCTAGAAAATGACCATTTGTAATTAAAGAAATTCTTATCGTCCCAAGTAGGTCGTGTATATAAATGCTTTCTTGATGTTATATATTCCCTGAATCTTGACTCGTTTTGTGTGTATGCGTGTGACGTAACAAAATTACCCAATTTTATATCATTGTTTGCATTTTTCGTCGATTTCGACTGATAAGTAATTTTTTACCTTTTTATGTAATTTTTCGCTGATTTCATCAATTTTAATGGTACTTGTTCAAACAGTATTTACGAGGTGGAACGAATGTTCACCACAGAATTCTTGAGTAACTTTTTCGATTTCTTCGCTCATAGATTGTAATGTCGGCCGTTGTGAGTACTATGTAATCTGAAGGTTCGTGTGACGTTTATCGACGCTATCGTCAGTTCGGCCGCTTTCGCGATAAATAAAGCCAGAGATTTTCTTTTAGAGGAACAGTCCAAACCCAAAGTTTGCAAGCTGAGTTCACTTGAACAAAAAGAAAAAGAATCGATTGCATCAGTATCCAAGAGCTTGAGTTGTTCATCTGAAGTAGTTTTGATCAATTTTTTACGTACTTTTTATTTGCTTTTTTTGGTTATTTTTTTAAGTATTTTAACAGCATTTTTTGGCAATGTTTTAGGTCATATATATCTGTGGGTCGGAGGTATAGGACACTATGTCACATTTACTAAATTTTACAGGAAAGCTGTTTGAAGGTTTGCATACCTCTAAGTGAAATTGGACTTGGTGTTATTTTATAGCACCGTAACTCTGCCATTATTAGATGTAAGACAGTGTAGTATAGCTCTGGATAGAGGACTAAAACTCATATTATTGTATCTCGTTTTGGCCAAAAATGGACATAGTGTCCTATACCTCCGACCCGCAGATATGATTCAGGTGTTTATTGATTGCTAATTAGCTTTGAGTGTGGTATTTATTCGTCTGCAGGAACGCGAGGGGTTCCTGAAGCCGTGGCTGATCCTGTACAGCATTCTTGCAGGCATCGCGATCCTTGTGTCCATCATCGGAGCCATCGTGGCATTCGCTGTTGCAGAAGCGGTGATTGGCGCTGCCTTGCTCATCACTGGCATCCTCTTGCTGCGTAAGTATCAGCCTCGTCCCCCGCTCTCACACTTCGTAAGAAGTAATACCGTAATATCTTACTTAACCTGTACAAGCCGGAAATCCCCCTTAACCGGAACCTGTACATGCCGGAAATTCCCCTTACCCGCAGCCTGTACACGCCGGAAATCCCCCTTAACGGGAAACTGTACAAGCCGGAAATCCTCCCTTAACCGGAACCTGTACAAGCCGGAAATCCCTCTTAACCGGAACCTGTACAAGCCGGAAATCCCCCTTAACCGGAACCTGTACAAGCCGGAAAACTCCCTTAACGGGAAACTACAAGCCGGAAATCCTCCCTTAACCGGAACCTGTACAAGCTGAAAATTCCCCTTAACCGGAACCGGATCCCCCACCGGAAAATGTCCCTGGCCCGTTTTGTTATATAGCATTTTATGGTATGGTTAAATGACATTTTTCACGTATGGTATATATTGTTTTATTTTATTTTACACAGAATAAAACTGAATCTGCCCCACGCGAAAACGGAACGGTTTTTCATGACCTATGGGAGGGTGGATCGTTATAAAACAGAATTCTAGACAATTTAATCGATTGGCAGACACACCAGATATTCTTAATGTAATGAATGCTGCGCTGTATTAAATTCTCGGTCCCACGCGATTTAGTCGTGGCAACAGCACTGTGAAGGAGAGGGGCTTCAGATGACAGCGTAGAATTCGACCTTGGGGTCAATTGTCTCTCAATGCGTAGCCGTAGGGGACTCCCCTCCCCGTTGCTCTCTGAGGAGGGGTTTATGTTACGGCTTGGCTTCTATTCGCGCCTCTCCCTGCCCCACGTTCAAAATCGTAACCCCATAAGCCAGAGACGCATTGCTCAAGAAAATTATAGTACTATGGACTGAGGCGCATTGTGTGTTGAAAGTCAGCAATCAATCCGATTTCATCCATTAGGCTGTGAGGTGGTGTGTATTTTGACGAGTTTCACAACCAATTTAACAATGCGAAAACCATAAAACTCTTTACATTCTCTAACATTAGACGAAAAGGTCAAACTTTTGGAAGCAAGGTAAACTCATAGCTGTCAATGAATGTTTAATCCTCATCTATTGAATGTTTCTTCCATAAATACGGTATAAAATATGTAAATCAATTCTAGTAATCGTAATAAAACCATATAATTTTTACTTTACTTTAATTCTTTACTTACATAAATTTACTAGTTTTAGAAAGAAATTATCCACATCATAAGTGCCATTAAATGGACAAATTGCATAAAACGGAAACCGAAACTCTTATTGTCCCGATCGATTCCGACTTTTACAAAAATTTACCGTATAACAATAAAGAAAAAGTTATACGCCGGAAAACGGCGAATTTTCGGCAGAAAATGTCTCGTGTGGTTTCTCTTGTGGTTCCATGAATATCTGTGGTCTGTATCCTCCATGAATACCGTGTGGTTTCTCCCATTACGGAGCAGGACCCTAACAAACCCGAACTGTGCGCGATCTTTCCTTCCTCTTCCTTGTCCTACCCTCACCCTTTATTATCATGCACTACACTACCACTCATGCCGTGAAACCAGTCGAGCGCGTAGTGTTTGCGCCGGTTGGGGCGGTGCCCCACTGGTGGGAGATACCTGGCTGAGGGAAAACCCGCTAATCGACTGTATGTCAGCGCCGGATCTCACCACTCCGACGGGGAAGATCACCGCCACCGACCTTTATAAACATGCACCACACTTACGGTACTAATGATCATAGCCATTGACTCGCCCGGAAACACGAAGTAATCAAATATTAAAGCATGTAACTTGCGACCTAGTTTCGCATTTTGGATCTTTTTAGGTTTTGCTAGCTTTATGTTAGTTTCTTACATTTTAGAATGATTTAGAAGCTTCCAAAACTTAATTTCATAAGTTTTTATCAGTGATGTGCTTTGCAATTTTACAATAGATTTTATTTCCATTATACGTACAATTATTTGTGTAATTACCCATTCATTTAAAGAAAACAACTATTTTTTTTATTAATTTTGTATTTTTTTTTCTTTCTGTTTCAGTCATCTACGGCTACTGTCTAGTCGTAGTCTACAGTTACTACCTGAGCCTTTCTGGCATTCAGCCTGGGACAGTGTAAAATCCAACGATTTTGCAATAGACTTTTCATATTCTTTCTTCTTTCAGAATTATGTTGTGCCATTAAAGAAAACCGTTTTGAATATGCGGCATGTGTTGGGGCGGTAAAAATAGAAAGAACCTGACTAGCTGAAAACTAAATAGGGCATGATGAATTTTTATTTTATGTCTTTTAACCGCAAAATGTGATGTGAATTCCTTGCAACCTTCCGTTTTCTTCTATGGAAAGACATGCAACGGAATTCGTATTTTTTTATTAAAAATAAAATGTCATACTTTTTAGCGTTTTTATAAAAAAGTTTTTGCTAGAACAAGAGGTCCAATATTAAAAATCAATTTCATATTTGTAGTTGATCATTTCATTTTGAATAATGTTAATGAAAATGTTTCCTTCTTTATCGATTAGATTAACGATATAATTTAAAAAATCTTAAAAACTGTTTATTATATTTGAGATATTTTTTATATGGTCGATAATAACGAATTTTTTTCTTCTTCTCATTGATCGTTTATATCTGACAAAATTACTCACTAGTTATTCCTGTAGGCGGCAAACTTTCCTCATTGATCGATGCCCAGCCAGGTTGTTACCTTTGATGTGCCAATTCCAAACGAACAGTTCACATGATAGCGATAAGAAGCTCTCGAGATAAGGTGAAACGTGACGCCCAACGCGTTAAAATAATTCCAGGAATCGCCTTCAGCTGTGTCAACGGACAATTCAATTCATTTCCGTTGCGAAAGATATCGTTTTCTCAGAGACAATACTAAGTGTACTTCACTTAACAGTGAACCCACATGGTGGCTTTTGAAACTACAGCATAGCCCTTTCACTTGTTGCTAAGTGAGTTTGTCTCGGCAGATACGTAATCGGCTTCATACACTACACGTTGTAGAATCGTCATTCTCTACAGCACAAATATTTCGTGTAGCGCTGACTGTTCGATAAACGTCTGTGCTGCTAGACAATGCCTAGTGGACGGTTGTTTGTTGTTTTTTTTCGTGAGGATGTGTTGTGAAATATTGAATGTTCATGTAAGATTGAATGAGATGACTTGTTTTTGTACGAATTTATTGATAAGATTTGTGAATAAAATATTTATTGTATAACTTACTCATTGTGCTTTTTTACAAGTATGCTACCGTTCCTTTTTTCATTAAAACCCTTGAAATATTAAAAATTCCAAAATTCACGTATGTTTTCGATCCTGTCTTTCACCTCTAATATACAACTCTGATTTCTTTCTCAATTCAATTTATTCCTGAAATTTAGATCTTTAAAGAATGTCATGCGCTGTTTTAAAAATGAGTTGGATTTGTAATAAGTAATCTTCCACAATAAAACCATAACACTAAATATCTTACATTCCGGCATGCACGTTCTGAGGACGTTACCTTATCACTGTTCCCAAGCATCGTGGTACAAAGCATGGCATTTAACTTGTCGACACTGATGTAGGAATGTCTGATCCGTATTTAGTGCAAATACATTTTTATCGTGGAAGATTACTTTTTTTACTTATTCATGTATAATAATCCACAAACTTCCTGCTTTACCTACTTTAATGATTGTTTGTTGAGTAACTCCACTAACACGAGGAAAAGTTTCGAGAGTTGCACATTCCCTATAACAGTACGGAAAGGAAAAGTATCGCCTCAAAACGACTCAACACTGGTTTCCACTAATGCAGTTGGCGAAAGGATACGCAGTTTTATATCCGAAAATCAAAACTGGTGACGGGCTGTCAAGTGATATCACTGCAGTGACTCTTGACTGGGAGGTTCACAGGGGTTCCACGCCTTCAATGTACGACTGTACATTAAAATTAAATTAATATACTCGTACATTAAATTTAATTTACGATTGCACATGAAACGTAATGTACCTTGTGCGTAAAAAGGAGATAAATATGTTTGTACATTAAATTTAACGATTAAATTAAAATTAACACAGATTTGATATTTATTTATAGATTACATGGAACGTAGAATTATTCTATTCCACTATTGGAACTAATGTACAATAAATTTTAAATATAATTTTTATTTGAGCTTTATATTTTCTGTCAATAAGTAATAATTTTCCCCTCAAAAGCATTTAGTTTAGTATTGTATTTGAACATATACTATTCTCAGTTGTATGCTGCGTTTTTGCAACATTTGCCTGACGTGGGGGTCTCATCTGACTATTTTGGGAGCGGCTTAGGAAATTTCGGTCCCTTTTTCAGGTACCCAGATGTTCGGATTCATTTCTACTCTGAAGCTTTTGTAGTCGGGTTCCTGCAAATTAGAGTATCAGTAGATATTTCTAAAACGCGCCCACAAACACACGTCATACTTTTCTGATATGAAAGCGTGTGAAACTTATGAATGTTATTTTTCACTTCCTGTTCTTATCACAACAGTTTCCTGGAGCGGTTAACATCAAAAGAAGCTGAAGCAATTGAGACATATTGGATTTGTCAAGGTAAAGTCTGTTTAATATTAATTATTTATTTAATATAATTTTCATTATTAACATTATTTGATAATATTTTCATGAAATGTAAAATTTGTTAATCTCAACCTATTGATGAATATGTGCTGCAGATTGCAAGCGGCTTTTTAATTATAAGAATGGACCAAACAAGTTGAGACAAACTAAAGTTCAGGAAATTACATAGTGAGTTCAAAGTAAATAACTGTAGTACCGGAACAAAACGTTCCACCATTTTGTGAAGACTTTGAAGGTGTGATATCATTATTTGCCTGCCGTTACATTTTTGGATGTAACCACTCGTATTCTAGAAATTATAAAATGCTCTGATTCATCCGAAGGTAAGTTGCAGTTGTATACTATAATGCACTAAATTAAAAATAATGATTCATTAAAAAAATTATTACTATCGATTGAACATATGAGAAAAAAGTAGTTACATTACATCCTTGAGAACTTTTAATGAAATGGCAATTGGTCTCAGTTTTATATAACACAAAATTGCATTAAAGAAAAAATTGTCAAAATGGATATTGTTATATAGAGAATGAATTTTATCCTTACGAACCAAATAGTTTTTCATATCTAGTAATTTCTAGAATGACCAAAGAAGAAAGATAGAATTTTAAGATTATATAATATCATCTACTAATAATTTTGCTCATAGCTTGTTTCACATTAAATCAATTTTCATCCCACCTTTCTAACCATTTATCAGTTGACGCGTTCGACGGTAATCAAACGAAATGGGTGGATGCAAGTTCATTTCAAGCATAACTGTAAGCTTAGAAGCTTTTTTGAGAGAACACGTTCACACACTGGTTAACACGTCAGGAGTAATATTATGATTGTATAATTCCGATATTTTATTTTGGGGAGCCCCTACGACTTTTTCAAAATTTTCTGAAAAGTGACTGCAATTTTTTCTGGAATATTGGAAGGTGCAGGTATAAACATAGAAAAGTTCAGTTCTTCGGTAAATAATTTAGGATAGAATACGTTCACATAGACAGTTTCTATTAAGGTTTATTTACACTTTATTTACACTCTATTGACGGCGTACTGGTCAGACTGCATACCTGACACCGTTGGAGTTTGAGTTAGGCGATTCCAAGTGTAATTTGTAGTGAACCAAGCGTTAGCGGCAGATTTGCCCGTTTTCCCTGTCAAAATGCATTACACCAGCGTTCTCCATCAATCATTTCCTAGCCTATTTCTATCATGAATCATCATTCTACGGATCACAGGGGACCCGCCGACTAGGCGATAACCGAGGACCCAGCTGAGAAGGGTCGTAGTTATCTCGGTGGGTTATCGAGAGGTAGGGTGTGGGTCAAGCGAGCTAGAGAGAGAAGAGACAGGAGAGAGAGAAGGGAGAGGAGTCAAAGGAGAGAGAGGAGAAAGAGAGAGGAGTCAGAGGAGAGACAGAGAGAAGTGAGAGGAGAGAGAGAGGAGTCAGAGGAGAGAGAGAGGAGTCAGAGGAGAGAAAGAGAGGAGTCAGAGGAGAGAGAGAGAGGAGTCAGAGGAGAGAGAGAGGAATCAGAGGAGAGAGAGAGAGGAGTCAGAGGAGAGAGAGAGAAGTCAGAGGAGAGAGAGGAGTCAGAGGAGAGAGAGGAGTCAGAGGAGAGAGAGAGGAGTCAGAGGAGAGAGAGAGGAGTCAGAGGAAAGAGAGGGGAGAGAGAAGAGAGAGAGGAGTCAGAGGAGAGAGGAGAGAGAGAGAAGAGAGTAGTTAGAGGAGAGAGGAGAGGAGAGAGGCAGAGGAGAGAGGGGAGAGAGGAGATAAGAGAGGCAGAGGAGAGAGAGAGAAGAGAGAGGAGAGAGATTTGAGGTAGTGGCGGACACCCCCTCCCAAAACCCTAAGACAAAGAGTGATGGAATGCCAGATGTGTGCGAAGGCTACAATTTCGTTGAAGCTGACACTAGAGGGTAAAAACATAGTTTAGATTCAAACACTATATTTACAATAACTACGACGGTTGGGGCAGAATTCATGGACACTATTTTTTCGAAAAGACATGTTATCGGATCACACAATTTTATTTGTCGCGTGAAAGAAATGTAATAATGTGTGACCACAACAACCGATAGGTATGTGAGTAACTCCATTAGCACAGAGAGCAATGTTAAATAATTTGTCTGACTGCTGCCTTGCGAGACGAATGTAAATCGTTTCGAGCAGCGCTGTTAACAATAATATACCCTCTTAAGTCCTAAAATGATGAGTAAAATCAAAATAATTGTTTTTATGATAAATGTTGTTTTTGTGCCAAGTAAGACAATTCTTGTATTTTAAACTTACATTGTTGTTATAGGTATTATCTTAAGCCTGTTTTACACGATCATTTTTTCATCATTTTTCGCCAGTACAGAAAAGATATAGGCCAGACTGAATGTAATTTGTACGTAAAAATGACGCATGCTTAATTATTCGATACGGATTTCATCCAGTTTGACTACCGCGCTCCTGGCGGCACTTTACGGAAGTTTCTCTAGTTTGTTATGTGTGTGGAGCGACATGATCATTTTGTAGTTGCCTGAGAGCGTTCTGATGTGTTGGATTGTAATGTGAAGTGGTTATGTAAAGAGAAATAAATTAAGCACTGTATTCTAATATTGTCGCATCCGAGCTCAGTCCTAACCTAACCTAACCTAACCTAACCTAACTTAATTTGTTACGACAGATGCAATGTTCAAAGTTTAAACTTCAGCGCTATATGCGGCGTCTGGAGGAAGTATTTTCTTCATGATTACGTACAAAGACAGAAATGACCGTGTAAAACACTCATCCAGTTTTGGCACCGAAACATACTGCGTAGAAACGAACGTCCTTTTTCCATCCATTTACTGTACAGAAAAATGATGAAAAAAGGATGCAGAAATGACCGTGTAAAACGGGCATTACATGATGCCTCAGAACTCTAAGGCGATAATCTATTAATACAATTTTTAATGTATTTTTATTCCATCCAATTTAAATCACAGAAATATTGGATCTTTTATTGGTTTCAATATTTAAAACAATTGAAAAATAATGTATAATACAATTTTACTGCATATTTTTTGACAAATAAAAAATACTAAGTAACTTTTACAGTACGCTACAAAACTAGAGGTATACATTAAAAACATGCAAATTCCATGAAATAAGTGATAATTCATGAAAACATCATTCACGCATGGCAAAGTAAGAGTTTAGTGTAGTGCTTCCATCTACTGACACTTAAATGAATCCCAAAAAAGGATCGCCGAGAAGCGACAACATTTAAGTATATATCGCGGCCACAAAACTTTTTGCGGGGTTAGGATCACGTAGACAAAAATAAAACACGAAGGTCTCACATATGATACCTCAGGACTGAAGAGGATAGGTGAAATGCCCTGGAATGTTACAAGGCACGTGCAGAACCTCTTGGGAACAACACCCTCCCAAACGGGCAGTCGCGAGATGGGCAAAAGGGTTCCTGCGAGGACTCGTTCGGAATATTTTTAGTTTTCGAGAAATTTATTCATCTTTGATTTCTTTAAATCGATCTATACATTTTTCTCACTAGCAATGAATAGATTAGAAAGAGTCATACAATGGTGTATCATTTGTGAAAGTTTTAATAGTAATTTGAGTGTAAAATTCTGACAAGTGA